GCCGGGCAGCGGCAATTGACGGGAGAGAAAAAAAAAATACGGCCAGCGATCAGGCTCGACCGGCTGCGTGTTTCCGGTGAACTTTCGCTTATGCAGGCATTTCGCGGATAATGCGCGCATCGCATATAGCGCCCACCCGTACCTCATCATTCGAAACAACCGCCGTGAGTGCTCTCTGAAAGAGTAATCGAGAAGAATGCACAGGTATCAAGTAAAACGATATATGTTCTGGCAAATTGTGCCGTCGGTGAACGCTATGATTTTCCGGGGCGACATTCCGCTTCGGGCGAACAGGAAAACAGAAAAAGGGACGTTCCGTGGGTTTTGAAGAAACTTAAGATCAATATCGCCACTTATCTGTAATAATATTGAACTTGAGTTCTCTCTAACGTTTTTATCGGCACTTAACTGTGCACCCGATTAATCTTATCTATTGCTAAAATTTATAGAATATTTAAATCACTTCGATGCTCTGAACAAACAAGCCTCCTTTCCAATCGTTTATGTGAAAACATTTTATTCTAAGAAAATTTTTAACTGAAGATCAAACAAAAATGGGTTTTGAAGAAACTTAAGTTCAATATCATCGCTTATTTGAATTTTCTTCGAATGTTTTTATCGTTCGCTGTACATCGGGCTAATCTCATCTATCGCCGAAATTCATGGAATATATATTTAAACCTCTTAATTTTTTTTAATCGTTTATATCGACAAATTTGAAGAAAGCCTACAATATAATGGAAGATTAGACGAAAAAAGTAACAGTTTGCTCGAAATAGTTGGGCTATCGCGTGGATAATATCATTTAGCAAAAAATCAGTATGAAATCGATCATCTCCTCCCCCACTTTCTCCGTCATCACAGTCGATATCGCCGCTATTACATCACGTTCGTTAAAAGAGACGGACCTGCATAATTAAGAGGATCCGCTTCGCTGTGTGCGTCGCACACGGATGCGTACGCGCGCACACAGAGAGGCGCGCTACTCGCTCCTATCATTATAATCGGCCGCGAAGCAAACGTTTCAGCCGGTAAATATTTAAGTCGGCTGGTAAGAGGCCGGTAATGAGAGTCGAGATGGATCGATAGACGTAGTACGTAGGACGAGGTGTATACGCACGTCTGTATGGGTCGCTGACACTCTCGATAAATATTGTCCGGCAGTCCGCGGAATCGTATCGCCGTCTCGTCCTTCGTGCGTTTACGTGCGAGAGATGACGCTGATATCGCGGCGGAGAAATTAAAAAGTCTAAGGCAAACAACGCGCTGTCACACTTTCCGCCCCCGCCCCTTCCTCCCCCATCGAACTTCGCCCCTTCTTCGAGCGACGCAAAATGTTAACGTCGGTAGACAAATGGACGCGGTAAATGTGATTTAATCATCGCGCTCTCCGAATGAATTAACTACTAATTGGCTTGGAATTACAGTCGTATTATCGTCCCGAGCGCGAAAAGTCCTTGATGTCGTCCCCAGGCGACGTGTTCCGTCAAGTTTTGTTGGCTTTAATTTCGCAAAGTGTTCGTCGTCGCGGAGGCCGCGTGAGCGTTCTGAATCACACATACGAGCGAACTCCTTCCGATAAATTTCCCGATGAAACTTTCACGGCAGAAGACGGGAAATTCGCGCTCTTGCTTCCTCGATGAAACGCGCGTTAAGTATTACCGCTTGCTGAAATTACAGTCATATTTCTCGCGACGCTTTATCTCGGTCATCGTTCAGCGAGGAAATACATTTCGTCGCCAGATAAAACGCCCGGCAAAAAGATGTTCGTGCCGGCAACAATATGGCACATGGCACGGAGGCAATAACTGCCATATGTGGAAAACACGTGTGCGAATTAACAATAGATCGTATTTGTTTGCCCGCGGCAAATGCTTGCAATTAAACACGCGGCATTTGCAAGAGTTTACACACGGAATTTCACATTGCCATGTTATTATTTATACGTAACGAGCTCGGTCACGTGGTATCAGCGCGACGTGACTCGAACGAACGTTCGAGAGTTGCGCCCGGCTGAATAAAATTGTCAAATAAATTTACACACGCGCGCGCGCAAACGAATTGTGTCAACGCCGCGACTCTCAGCGCGTCGACTTCGCGAATATTTATTCACACTGCTGAGTTTCTCATCGATCCCATACTGTCCATCTTAATTCTTTTATTATAAAACCATTGTCCACGTTTTATGATGCTTTTATTTATTGCAAGAAATGTGAAATGAAATTAATGTATTTCCGCGGAGAAGAAAATTGTCTTGAGATATTAACGGCGATATAATAGTATTTTTCCCTGCGTCGCGCAATACGATATAAAAATTGAATCGTAGGCGGTACAATTACGATAATTGTATTTTCCTTCATGAAGGATGGCAAGAGCGAAACGGTGTGCCTGCTCCAACAAAGCGACACTGTCATCCACTCCGCTATTGTACGCGTCCCCGCTGCGGGCGATAATTCCGACGATTATATATCGAAATGAAACGTCGGTAAATTTAATTTAAAGAAAAGAACGTCGGTTCGCCTTGACGACCGCCAATGACTCAGAACTGCGTTTCAAGAAAAGAAATGCGAACAAGAAATCGATCTGATCCTTTTGTGCGTCAAGAATGATAACTCATACTCGATATGGCAAAGAAAGTTAATGCGAAGTTATTCAAATTTAAAACTATTATGAAGATTAATACACACACAGCGGCGAGCTTAAAACTAACTTTGCCGTAGTAAGAAATTGTATTCTCCGAAATTTATTGTCTCATGTTGTTTCTGAGTATTAATTTTGTGCTCTTCGCAGAAGAAAAATTTTAGAATATATTTTATCTTTGTTTTGTTTTACAAAACATTTTTGATATTTTTCAACGATATTTCGAAGTGAATTGGACACGAATTTCACAGTTTCAATAAATTTTTCAACAACTTTCTGTTATCTTTTATTTATATTATTTATAAAAGGATGATGAGCTGTTAAATGACATTAATGTTATAGTAAGCAAAATGCTAGCAATATTGTCAGCATTTAACTAGATATCTCTTCCATGAATACTTTCAACTTTCACGTTACAAATTAAGCCTCGATTAAATCCAAACATTTTCACCACCGATCTTATCTTTTCACGCGAATTCCGCAATTACTTGTCGCGCTTCGCACGATGACATAAAATTCCTCCTTCCGCGAAGTGCTTGCTTTTTTTTCCATGACACTTCTGAACGTTCTTTTTCACCATTTATGCACGCTCATGCGAACTCAAAGCGAGAGATACCCCTCGCGCGCGACGTCCGCGGGCAGAATTAATTTCTTTTCGATAGAATCTTAACGACGACGCCTTCCGTCGCGTTACAACATTCGGAGGCGTTCGTACACTTTTATCGTCGCTTTACAATCGTAAAACTGTTTGCCCGGAATTTCGAGTGAGAGGAAGAGAGAGAGAGAGAGAGAGAGAGAGAGAGAGAGAGAGTGTAGTCTCCGCGGCACAGCTGTTTGCTCGGGTGCTATCGTCGCCGGTCGATCGTCATTAGACAACCGACGGCGCGGACTTTTAGAAGGCAGCGCGACAAGAGCTTACAACTGTGGTCACTCTCTTTCTTTTGTTATTATCGTCGGAGGAATTTATGCTATCTAATGTGAGAGGCCGCGATATCTGCGTGCGGGATGATCGTTCCGTCAAGATTCGCGCGGGCGATTAACGGAGAAGTTGTTGATTTTTTTTTTCGTGTAACGATATCGCGAGAACAATTGCAAGATACGTACAAGATTATGCGGCTGACATTAATAAATGATGGCGTTCGTGACACTTTCAAGCTCTTGCCGCTCGTGACGTATTTGCCGGAGAATTACGACGAAACGTTCTGCGGATGATTCTTATTATAATATTTTATTGCCAACGGCATACGGAGAGAAAAAAATACACATTCTCCGCGCGTATTTCATTCATAAACCGCTTTAAGAAAGATTACGAACAAGTGATCGTCTTCCGTTATCCGTTACACAGTTATCTCGTTTAATCTTTTAATTTTAATTTATCGTTCGGTATTAATTTTGCTACTAATTTGTGCCGAAAATCACGCCATCAATTGTTTGTCAACCGTTGCATGTTAATGTCGCGTGTTGTGCCGCAACACTTTGATCGATCATTTAATAATATAAAATAATTGCGATGCTCTTAATTGCATTTTGCGAGCGACGGTGAACCGCGCACAGCGCGACCGATCGTCTTCGATCGATTACAGGCTTTAGTCATCGCCGCAAATGCTCCACCGTCGTTGACTGACGCCGATGCGCATACAGCGAAGCACGATTTATTGGTTGATTCAGTTGCGTTTGGTTAACCTTGGCTCATTATTCCAGACCGCGCAGGGTTGTCTTTCTGCGACGATAATCAAATTTGCAACGCGCGCATTCGTAATTCACGCCTCCCGATATACTTAATCATCATCATCGATCGGAATCGCTTGCGCTCATTGTGCCCGCGAATTTTACGCCTTCATCGACGCAGATGCTTCATTAATTGCTTTACTTGCAACACTTGTATTTAGATATTCAATTTCTCGCGCAGTTCTCAATGAAACATATCTGCAACAATTATGTCGCAGAGAATTCAAAAATACTTGGCTGCTTAATTTGACGTGAGAATTGTGATAATATATTACACATATTATTAGATATATCGTATTAAGAGCTAGTTTTTATATAATAAAATATATTTATAGAGCCTGATTAATTAAATATTGTTAAAACATTATTTGCAAAAATTAAGAATTCTGCCTCAAAAGTTAATACAAATTCTACATATTTAATAATAATAATATTTGATATTTCTCTTTTTACGCGTGGATTAAATGGTAAAAATATTATTAAAACGCTCGAAAAAGTATGTTGCCGATATTCTGCAATATTCTTCACACATCTTTTAACGTTAAAAATTATATCGCAAGCTTAATCGATTGAAAGCGCGAACAACAACCGATCCGGACACTCTTCAACATCGATTCAAATTTATGTTACAGGTGAGAAACCGCACAAGTGCGTGGTGTGCGGCAAGGCGTTTTCGCAGAGCAGCAACCTGATCACGCATATGCGCAAGCACACCGGCTACAAGCCGTTTCAGTGCGGCCTCTGCGACAAGGCGTTCCAAAGGAAGGTCGATTTGCGAAGGCACCGGGAAGGTCAGCACCCGGCGGCGCCGGCGCTTGACTATCGCTCTCTGCAGATGCCTGCGCAGCAACAGCCGAACGGCAACCGGCGCTCGCCCGTGCCGTCGCACTCGACGTCTTCGACAGGTTACCACATGATATCCGTGCCCAGCAGTAGCTGAGACTCGTTCACCTGACAGACGCCTCGTCCGTGAAAGCCGTACCGAGCCCTTACGGAACCGGACAGCCGGAATGTCCCACGCCGGTACGTATTTCAATCGCGCGTACGCGGTGACATCGTCAACGACGGGTAATGCTCGTAAAATCGATCGTCGCGCGAGCGAGATTCTATACATAGTTTAATTCGACGTTGATTGGATCGAGTTATGTATTTCGAGCGAGCGTAACACTAAAGTAGCGACCCACTCGGCCATCCGGCGTTTCTTCTATGAGTTTAATGCGCGAGATTGAGTAAAGTGAGGTGAGATTGAATCTGCTCTTCGTGTAATTTGACAGAAAATTTCTAACATTGAAGGAAAAAATATTTTGGCGTTATATATTTAGCAAAAGGCAATTCGATTATTCTTGCTCAATCTTCTTATTTTATAGTGCCATTGAAACCATGTTGCTTATAATTCTTTGATGATGCTATTCGACTTCACCTTACAGTACGTCGAGAATATGTGCGTTGATACACTTAGTCAACAAAAAAAAAAAAAACGTTAAAAACTTCGAAGAAAGGATTGCTAATCCACCAATGAATTTCCAGCATTGTAAAACAGATTTTTGTGCTACACGCTTGAAAAATGAAGGCAAGCAATTTTTCTTTTTTTAGTACCTTTTAAAAAAAATAGATTTTAAAGGAAGATTTATTACTATCTTATTTCACATATTATTATGTGATAATTAAAATTACAATCAGTTTTTCGGAATATCCTGTTGGCATTGAATCGATGATTTTTTTCAAACCTTTGTGTCCAAGTGTATCACTGTTCATTTGTGATACCAGCACTGTTATAGTACTGTGATAGTATCTCGCGATGTACGATACGTCGATGCGGATTATCGGAGATGGCTCTTACACATGCATCAGCGAATGTCGCGAGTAACGGACATGTGATGCACAAGTATCATTGCGAATCGCTTCGAAATGTAGTGTGTGCTTCGCGTTTATTATACCAGTGATACTACGCCTCTCTCCTGTGGCGTGACAAATTACACACGTAACGCGCTAATGCTTTTTTTAAGCAACACGCGACGCGTCGACACCGAAGCAGCATCATTGTGCATCGTATTTCCATGTCTCGATCGGACCAAATATAAATCGCATTAGACGCGACATTAGTCCTGCATCAAATCGTTCCTCTCATTTTTAGTCCAATCGAGCGGCTCTATTCGCAAAAGTGAACGGAGAGCGTCGTCGAAATAGAAATACAATTCGGAAAGAAACTAGCACATGACAAAGGACAAATTTTGGGTCTTATCTCGGAGCGATGAGATGTAAATACACACAGCCGTGACTGTACGCGTGATTGCACGATGCAGATTCAAGGTGTCTAATTCAAGGATCGTCTGCGTCGAAGGTCACTGTCTCTTTGCAAACCAATCTCGCTTATGCTCAGCTGAGAAACAGAATTGTAAATATTTTCCATGGAAATCACCACCGATAATCTTTCCGTTTTAACGATGCGAAATTACGGAGGGGCGCTTAATTGGAGTGCGATCGGTGAAATGTTTGCGTGAATCAATCGGACAATCGTATATTTAATCAACATCCACACAGTGCCTTGGTGAACGTTTCCGACGCAGTTGGAATTTTTTTAATTACGGCGCGCATTATTTTCGACGCTTTTCTCGCTAATAGATATCATGTTACCTGGCAATGAATTATTGGATTAAGCAAATATGACCCAAATACGATTCTAAAAGCTTCAAACTTCAAATAAGAATTCGTATGGCGTTCTATTTAATCGCCTTGGCCTGATAGTAAGAAAATCGTCGTCAAATTTAATGGTGGACAAGAAACACTGTATATACGCGTGCACGCACACATATACACACATATATATATATATATATATTTCTTAAGACGTATGTGCAGGATATTGCATGTATGTACGTATTTGTACATTACTGCCTTCATTATTTATACTATTTTTCGAAAAGAGAAATAACTCTACAAATTCCTTATATAAATAGATAGATTTTGAATCATTGAATTATGAAGGCGATTGCATACAATTTGATGCAAAGAATTCTTTCGTAATAAAATTTTTTAATCTCGTATGACACGTAAAAAAAATATTCAAATAAAATGCTATAAAAATATACAAGCCTGTCATGTAAATGCTTATCGTGATAATGGCAAATGAATTGTATTGGAAACTGAATCAAAATTGAAAAAGTTTTCTTTATCTTGATTTTCACTGTTGATTTCTTTGTCATTACAGAACAATCGACTCGATCGATCTATCGATATATATCATAAAATGCCTCAATGTGCCTTTCTTTCGATGTCACATATTCGAGGCGTGGTATTGAATAATACTGCACCTCTCCTCCTCCTCCCCCCCCCCCTCTGCCATGCATTCAAGTGTTCACATCTAAATACATTAATAGCATTTGTGTCTTGTAACAAATGTGTGTTGTTTAAGTTCCATAATTCTTCTAGATATATCAAAATTATATTTAAAAATTTTTTCATATTATTTATATATATTTTGCAAGTTTTACAAATCTTACGCACGTTATTTATTTAATAAAATTTTAACATGTACAAGTTAATATCAATTGTGCAACTTTCAAACACTTCTCGTGAACGAGCATTTTGACACGAGATGCGCGTAATTGGTAAAATCGTGGAAAAATGATTGATTATTGTTTGAAATTGTTGGAAAACTATTGCTTTCGATGTGTCATTTCTATTTTATCGATATCTAAACCTAAATGTGTGACAAAACGAGATATATACACGATGCATTATGTTGAAAGCTCTAAGCTGATTGTGAATGTAGTATATTATTTGTCTATGTGTCATAGTCCATCGAAGCCAAAGTCACCCGTGTTTACGAAAATCGATTGAATAGATTCAAACAGTGAACGATACACTATGTCGAAATGTTAACAAACGTTATCAAAACTTGATAAATATTATGCAACCTTTTTACTTGTGATGCCAATTTTTACGTCTTACTTTCGCACTATTTATTACACTTTTCCAGATATCGGCACGGATATCAATTGGCAGATGTATTTCGTACAATTCGGTGGTTGATCAAAATATACTTTACGGCGTAGAAAAGTCACCGCTGCGAAAGAAAAGCGTGGGAGTGATTATTTTTGTATTAACGCGGAAGTAAAGCCGAAGAAGCAAAATGTGTAGCTTACAGTTAGATAAATGAACGAGCACGCTGTAACTTTTCCTGCACCGAAAAAAAAAAAAAAAAAAAAAAAACATCGATGTTACAACACACACAATCGGAGGCCTGCATGTGACATAGAATATAAGTTTTAAGCTCGCGCGGAAGCTTTGTTGTAAATAGGGGATCGATTTCTCTCAAAAGAATCTCAAAAGATTTATCCGTCCCAGCATCCCGTGTGAACGAGAGAGCGAAAGTGATCGCGACGACGAGGAGATCTCGCACAAAATTCGCACGAATCCGGCAACGAATCATAGCGGCTAGAGGACCAAAGATAGCATAGGCTGGACCTGATCGATTGGTGGTAATCGGGTTTTCTTCCCTCTGTGAAGTTTGCGGGAACACGCAAACGATACGTGAAACGGTTTATAAAAACGACGTGACGACTCGCGAAAACTCGAAACTCACCAGAGAGATTCCGGTCCTTGCGGTACGTACAGATTGTAATATACCATTAGAGTTTAGCTATAATCGATAAAGATTATGTGCGACGATTAAGTGAGTTTAGGATATAATTCTGTCCGACAACGACGTAGCGGTTTGCTCGCTTTGCGACGAAGGTTTTCACGCTGTTTGCGAGCGGCGCGCGCTCGGTCGCGCAGAAACATCGTTCTCACGGATTAATTAATTAGCGAATGTTACAGCGCGACACGTATCTGACACGAGACCCGCGCGCGTTAAGCAATTTTGTGCTATATATTAAGATTATGTAAACTTATATGTAGAAATCGCGATCGATAAATCAATAAGTAGATATCTTTCAAGATGTTCGTGCAGGTGTCTATATGAGCACGGAGAGAAAAAGTGTGTATCTGAGTGAGTGAGCGAGAGCAAGAGCGAGCGAGCGAGCGAGAGAGAGAGAGAGAGAGAGAACGCAATAGTGATAAGAGAGATTTTGCGAGCACGAGTGAACGATTCGTGTTAACCGGTAAAACCAAAAATATGTTTATTATTGCTAAAGAAAATATTGATCGAATAAATTGTTTTTCTTATAAATGCTTTGTGTTATTTTTATGATAATGCTCTCCTGTCCTCGTCACCACCGCATCCAGATTTATACATTAGACGTTGCGAATATTGCGTATAATCCTTGTTTCTCGAATAAACGATACGATAAAATATATGCTTAACACTCCGAAGCAAACTTGTGGCGTTTATTATTCTAATAATTTATTATTTTCTTAATAGTATTACTTTTCGAACGTTATTTATTTGAGTGCAATACTCCGAAAATTTAAAAATTATTATCATTGTAATCATGTTTAATTGCAACTTAAGTTATTTAAATTTTCAAACGCACAGTTACTGAGCTCTAAATTGTTTTAATTTACATAATGCAAAATTTTCTCTTTGTTTTTTACTGTCTATAGCTGCACTTTAAAAAAAAAATTTTTTTTTGTTTAACTCTACAGTTTTATCTGTTTTTTTTTTCTTCTGTTCTGTTCTACTTAAAATAGATTTGTCTGTATGAAATATGTTTGACAACATTAAATTTTCTTAATGTCCCGTAAATTAATTATGCATGTAGTGTGCAACTTGGGTTATTTAAATTTTCAAGCGCACAATACTAAGCTCCAAATTGTTTTCATTTACATAATGCAAAATTTCCTCTTTGTTTTTTACTGTCATCTAGTGAATACAATTTTTTACCTTTTGCACACATTTTTTTCTTCAAAGCTGAAGGTCGGCTATTGTTGCGATAAGATAATTTTGTTACGTTTCTTCGGGTAATTAGCGCCGTTTACAAAGAACTCGAGCTATTTCCGACTAAGCACGAGTACGTTTGTGGAAATAACAGTCGTAAAATTTATAAATGCAATTAGGTTGCGTAAATAATGTACTTTCTACGCATGAAATTGTTCAATTATTAATATTTCATAATAGATGTAATTACTATTGTCTAATTAAATGTTATTTATCAAATGCAATTTATATTTAACAAAACTACATTTTTTACGTTATTCTGTGTTGTTTCATAAAAATTCTTTTTATACAACAAAGACATTATAACAACATTGCCACATTAACGCATTGATTTGATTGCAGAAAAAAAATTTTTCTGCAATAATATTTAAAAAATATTGTTTTATACCGTTTATATGCGTACACGATCTTGTAAAATATATAATAAATATCTTATTTGCCAGACCATCATTCACTTTTTTATTTACTTTCAAAAGTTAAGCTTGCATCTCGAGCAATAAATTAAGAAATCCAAAAAACGCAAGTTAAACCGACGCGCACGGTGTCGACGTGCACGTTGCGCTCGTAATTGGCCAATTTGCATTTCGCGAACCGGGGCGAAGGCGAGTCGCGATTCACGCGATAACGGAGGGAGGGAGATAATCGGGCCACCGCCCGATTTCTATCGGAATGCGGCAATTTATACGATCGGGACGATAAGCCCGCCATCCTTACCGCGAAAGACTCTCCGCTCGTTTCCTCGTCGATTCACCTGCGTGAATTTGATGCGCAGTTTCGGCTCGCACGCGCGCTGCAAGCGTCTTGCGCTCGAGAAAAATTTCCAATATAGTGTAACTGTTGCACTCTTAATATTTATTGCTTTTGTTATCTAGAAAAAGGTCTATATTTAATTTAAATTTTATATTCTACAATATTTTTATAATTCTCGTCACAGAACACACTATCGTGTGAGAAAACAAAACATTGATGCTGATTTTGGCATATCTTTTATACCGCTGAATATCGAAGACCTTTTCAGTAATTTAAGAAATCATAATCAATGGCTTTAAAGACTAAAATAAATGATGGACTTGCTGTATGTTCGACTGACCTCACACGTATAAACGGGAATTTGAAAACGAAAGGGTTACCAACCGGTTTTAACGTACTCTTAATCGAGTGAACCTTCTTCAAATATAAATCATCTTAATAGTTATATCTTCTCTTACGACTACATCGACTTTTGCGTTAGCACCTTGCAGCTAGAACAATTACAATCGTTCTATTTTTTGCAAGTGGGACACATCATGCTTCTCGAAGTTACAAAATAACTGGCTGTTCTAATTATTTTAACACACTGATACGCTTTGTCATGCTGGTCGGACGAACGGTAGAAGATTAATGAATTAACAACTTGAGCATTGTTTATTTTTTTTTACTCGCTGTGTATTTTATCGATATGCGATGACGCGTTCAGACGATAATTAGAAATAGTCCTGCAAAGGTAAAAGCAAATTATCCATGTTGGATATTAAATTTATTTTTTATTTCCATCATCCTTCTCGTTTGCGTCACAAAGCCAGCTTGTTTCTTAGCCAGTTTTCTCCTGCGGCGAGAAATGATCGTCGATAATCTATTACTGAGATGAGACAGCTTTTGATCGGCCACCTTTCATGTTTTTTTCATTTTCATGAGCTGTGTGTGTGTGTGTGTGTGTGTGTGTGTGATAGCTTTTTTCATGTCACATCTATATTTATCTCTTTCTTATTTTTACACGGATTTTCTGCATATGCGCGTACATCTCTTATTAAAATATTACAATACACAATGCTCAGCATTATATTAATTATAAAATTCAGATTATTTTACTAAAAATTTGTACTGACAATTTTTAATATATGCAAAATTCTTATGAGAAAAATATTTCTATTTTTAAGAATCTAAATATATTTTTCGTTTGCAAAATTAGTAAATATACGGCAACATGAAAGCACATAATCTATTTTCGCTAAACGATTAAAAACCAAAAAGCAAATTTCAGCAGACAAACTATCTCATCTTCGCAGACCTATTACCGGCCTTTATTCGCTTTCCACTTCATCGTCAAACGACGTACAGCGCATTATATGTCCGAGACCGCCATTAGCCCCTAATTAACTTTTCTCTTCGCATTCGATAGAGAGCCGCGGGTCACGTCAACCGCAAATGAAAAATTTATCGTAATCGTTTACGGCCAGTTGCAGTCGGCTGCAACTTCGTAGCGCTCTTTAAGAACTTGAACGTTGTAATCATCGCTAATCGAGTCATTAGTCGATGACATGTTTGGGAACTAAAATTGAAATTTTTCGCGGGACGAACCGCGTGAATCAGAGACGATTGTAAATTAATCAGAATTGAGCAAGTGGCTGATGTCTTATTTTCCTTCTACACGGTAGTTTGACAACATATTTACATCAGTTTGTAAATTATCAAGACCACCACCACTTCTGTCACATCCTGTGTAGAAAAATGTAAACCAGTTATAGCCGTCAGGTCGCATCGATATCTTTCGCACAACAATATTACAACATCATCTTATCAGTTTCATTGTTTTCTATTTCTATTTTTCATTACTATTTTATTTTATTCTATTTAACATTACTAGCTCTTTTGGCTAACGTTTTAATATAAATTTGCGTTTCTTTTCCATTTTCACGCAGAATTTTGAGTATCTACACGTGAAAATATCCAATCGAGTTAAACTCACTGTTAGAGAATCGTGTCTGGTTTATGAATACGGTTTTTTACCGTTCTGAAGACTAATTCGGTTACGCCAATACCGCGCTCTGGTTTCCACATCTTTGGGTTTATTGCTGCTAATTATGAATGGACAATAAACCCGTCCTATAGTGCAGGCACGCGAAAGCCCGACTTTTCCCTCGCATTGCCAGTCGAATGCGCTTTCCGCTCGAATCATCGGCACGTTTTACGCGCACAGTCTGATTAAACTACTTCCCGACGCATAACGGACGTACTTCTACAAACGGTTATCCTTGCAAAAAAGGATCTCTCACACCCTAACGTGTACTAATCAATCGCGCACTCGTTAATGCACCCTTAATCGCGTAATATATTCCCATTTGCCGATTGATTTTTATCTTACTTTTATTTCCGTATCCAATCGTTGCAATTCTCGCGAGACAGAAATCTATTTGCAATTTTAAATTTCCAAACGCCATATATACGCATAAAACGTAAGACTTGAGTCTAGCGGCTAATTTTTAGCGTAATCGAAGGTTTTAGTTGCAATGTTGTCCGTGTCATGCCTCAAGAATTGCACGCGTGTAGATTTCCAAATCTATGTATATGTATG